ACATGTATAGCTCAACTAGTAGTCCCACAAAAGGCCCCCCAAACTAGGTTTGGGACAAAGGAAATGAAAATAGAAATCTCTTTAACAAAGTCTCCACTCTCAATCTTTACATTCTTAAAGTGACCAGTGTTTCGTGAGTTATGGAAAAGTCCTCAAACATCTACATTGAATTTTCTTCTTCATGGTCAGTCTGGCACTTTTCTATGGAATTTCACATAAGAATGTTTGTCTCAGTCAAAACTTTGATTTAATACCCTGTTTTATACACACACATAAGTGTTTAGGATACACTTTTAATTTCCAGTTATTTTTTAAAGTTCATTTTACTCTTAAATATCTAATAAAATTAAGGAATTTGAACACTGAAAGGGGGCATTCAGACACACAAAATTCAACACCCCTCTCACCCAGCATAGAATCTCCTCATTCCTGACAGAAGACCACCCAGCTTTGGTGTGATCTTCCTATGAGACCAAGCCTACTTCCCTTCTTCAGATATCTGAGGACTGACATCATAGCTGGCCAAGGCTCCTTTTTACCAAGTTAAATGCTTCCCGTTCCTTATTCAGACCCTTGTCATCCAGGTCGCCTTCCTCAGGATATCTTGAAGTTGGTCTCTGTCTTCCACAAAGGGGCAACCCAAAATGAGACACTGAGTGGACGTGGGCTCCTTTGACCCAAATGCCAAAGTAGTGAAGGGCTCAAGTTGTATTCGTAGCACTACTGCTTATTGGTTATGTAATCTTAGGAAAATTACTTAATCCCTCTGTGCCTCAGCCTTTTCATCTGAGAAATGGGAATGGTGATAATTACATTCACTACTCATGGGGTTATTACAGGGACTGAGATCAAATTGTGAAACAAGCATAACCGTGCCTGGCACATAATAAGCTCCATACAAATATCTATTTAAAAATGCCTGTCCTAATCAATATAACCCAAGTTTGCTATGGAACAGCAACTTCACACTGTGGTTCCATGAAAACTTGGTGTGCCATTGAAACTCCCATGTTTTTTTCTCTCACATAAAGTGCTAATCAGAGGGGCCACTCCATCCTTTACTTTTTAAATTTACTCTTTGAACCTAAATGCAGATCTAGACCTTCAACCCCACTATGAGCTCAACATTCTAATATTAGTATCTCTTATCCATATAAAAATGGATCTCATAGAGTATCCTCCCAGGTTTGTAGTTGCTACCTCTCTGAAGAGCTTTGGTTTATGTCTACTTTTCAATCCCATCTTATCCTTGGGAACAGTATAAGACTTTGTCAAATGTCTCTGCAAAGGTAGGACAAGCTTTAGATTATCCATGATGGAGAAGGGTGTCAGGGACTGAATCGTTTGTAGGTCCCTAACTTTGGGAACCGCCATTTGTGAAATGTAAATAACAACAGCTATCTAGCTGTGAGGACCAATGGGGACTATACATTAGAAAAAACTAGCCAAGATGCTGTCAAACCAAGACATTAAAACGTCATCAATAAAGGATTTGGAGATGAATTCTGATAGCAAAATACCTCAACATCTGGGGGCCTAGGAAAACGGGGAGGAGGAGGCTATATTTTCCAGAAGGTGCTGATGAAATAATCTGCAAGGAAAAAGTGATCCCTACTCTGAGCAGAGTGGGGTTAGCCTGAAAGAACAAATGAAGGCAGCCAGGGATAGGTATGTATGCCCAAGCAGAAGCAGCAGGATAAACAATGCAAAACAACACACACACACACACACACACACGCACACTCGGTTCACAAAACGATACTTAGCCTGGCACAGACAATGAACTCAGATGTCTTCTCTTCCCTTCTACTGATTCTATGTTTTAAAAGTGCTGATGTAATTCACTACACTGATATCATCACCTTACCGAATGATAACACACATTAGAAAAATAATAGATTTGGCATGCCCCAATCTACAGACCAGCAGTTTGCTAGAAAAGAGAAATAAGTTAGTTTGGCATAAATTGTCTTCAGAAATTCCTTCTAAGGTGATCTCTAGCTATCTTTAATAATTTATTTTGGAATGCTGCCAGGATTTAATGTTTCCCTCTTTTGAAAAGTCTCCTGGCTCTACTCTCATCTCTCAAGCCTGCTCAAAGGTTACTGCGAACACTTTCATGCTCTAGATGTCTATTATTTGGGCCTTGAACAACTCAGACCAGTTCTAGTCTTCAAGACCCTTTTAAAGAGGTTTGGCTGGCCTTCCCGTTTTGAAAAGAAAGAAGTAGACTTGGGAGCGATGCTGTCTTCTGTCACCTGTTAGTATCACCTCATCTTCTGTAAACCTTGAATTATCTTGCTGACCAGAACAAAACTCCCCTGTTGTGGGCACTCCAGCTCATGGTGGCCTCTTGCCTTCTGGACCTTACCCTTGCAGGCCCAGACCACCTTCCTGCTTTCCCGGTGATGTGCCCTGTGTGATGCACCTAAGGGACACTAGACTCACTGTTCTGGTTTCCAGACCCCTGCTCGCCACTGTTAACTGGGGGATTCAGCTGGAAATTTTATTTAATATCTCGACCTAATTTTCTTCACGTATAAATTGGAAATACTGCTGCTTGCCTTTGCGATTTTCTAAAGAATTTATTTATGGGTGTTCCTTTCTATTCCCTGGAATAGCACAGAAACTTCCCCCAAGCTCCCTTTGCTTTCAGAAGACCACGGAGTGTTATATTGTCGTCAGATTAAATCCAGGGTAACAACAGATTCCTCCAGTCATCTAAACTGCTGCGGAAACCACAAAACCTCAAAACAAGTCTCTAATGAGGCGATTCTTTGTCTTCCTTAACTAATTACAAGGAAAGAACTTTTCAATCCCATCTTATCCTTGGGAACAGTATAAGACTTTGTCAAATGTCTCTGCAAAGGTAGGACAAGCTTTAGATTATCCATGATGGAGAAGGGTGTCAGGGACTGAATCGTTTGTAGGTCCCTAACTTTGGGAACCGCCATTTGTGAAATGTAAATAACAACAGCTATCTAGCTGTGAGGACCAATGGGGACTATACATTAGAAAAAACTAGCCAAGATGCTGTCAAACCAAGACATTAAAACGTCATCAATAAAGGATTTGGAGATGAATTCTGATAGCAAAATACCTCAACATCTGGGGGCCTAGGAAAACGGGGAGGAGGAGGCTATATTTTCCAGAAGGTTGCTGATGAATAATCTGCAAGGAAAAAGTGATCCCTACTCTGAGCAGAGTGGGGTTAGCCTGAAAGAACAAATGAAGGCAGCCAGGGATAGGTATGTATGCCCAAGCAGAAGCAGCAGGATAAACAATGCAAAACAACACACACACACACACACACACACACACGCACACTCGGTTCACAAAACGATACTTAGCCTGGCACAGACAATGAACTCAGATGTCTTCTCTTCCCTTCTACTGATTCTATGTTTTAAAAGTGCTGATGTAATTCACTACACTGATATCATCACCTTACCGAATGATAACACACATTAGAAAAATAATAGATTTGGCATGCCCCAATCTACAGACCAGCAGTTTGCTAGAAAAGAGAAATAAGTTAGTTTGGCATAAATTGTCTTCAGAAATTCCTTCTAAGGTGATCTCTAGCTATCTTTAATAATTTATTTTGGAATGCTGCCAGGATTTAATGTTTCCCTCTTTTGAAAAGTCTCCTGGCTCTACTCTCATCTCTCAAGCCTGCTCAAAGGTTACTGCGAACACTTTCATGCTCTAGATGTCTATTATTTGGGCCTTGAACAACTCAGACCAGTTCTAGTCTTCAAGACCCTTTTAAAGAGGTTTGGCTGGCCTTCCCGTTTTGAAAAGAAAGAAGTAGACTTGGGAGCGATGCTGTCTTCTGTCACCTGTTAGTATCACCTCATCTTCTGTAAACCTTGAATTATCTTGCTGACCAGAACAAAACTCCCCTGTTGTGGGCACTCCAGCTCATGGTGGCCTCTTGCCTTCTGGACCTTACCCTTGCAGGCCCAGACCACCTTCCTGCTTTCCCGGTGATGTGCCCTGTGTGATGCACCTAAGGGACACTAGACTCACTGTTCTGGTTTCCAGACCCCTGCTCGCCACTATTAACTGGGGGATTCAGCTGGAAATTTTATTTAATATCTCGACCTAATTTTCTTCACGTATAAATTGGAAATACTGCTGCTTGCCTTTGCGATTTTCTAAAGAATTTATTTATGGGTGTTCCTTTCTATTCCCTGGAATAGCACAGAAACTTCCCCCAAGCTCCCTTTGCTTTCAGAAGACCACGGAGTGTTATATTGTCGTCAGATTAAATCCAGGGTAACAACAGATTCCTCCATTCATCTAAACTGCTGCGGAAACCACAAAACCTCAAAACAAGTCTCTAATGAGGCGATTCTTTGTCTTCCTTAACTAATTACAAGGAAAGAATGCAAAAGGGAGAAAAACAAACCCAATATTTCTCTCTAATCAGTAAAACGAACGGGACGCAGGCTCCCCAGTACAAACAAAATGAATGCACTGTCAAGCAGGGTTCATTCTGAGAACCCTGCCCACTGCAGGGACACGCACCCCGGGTCAGAGAACAGAGCGTTCATTTCGCCTTGACCCGCAGGGACCCCGCACTGAAAGGGTTTCTCAGTTGCAGAACACAAAGGGGCAAGCGGGCAGGGCATGGAAAGTTTTCTTACCTTCAGGTGTGACTCGACCCTCCTCAGCAGAGAGGAGGAAACCCACCCAAGCCCCTAGCGCCCCTGTCTCCAGTCTTTTGCAACGCTCGCCGACGGGAAACACATTGCCTGGCTCAGAAGAAAGGTTTTAAACTTGGCTGCTCTCCACGGGGACCCCACTCTTCCCCTGGGCACCCTCAAACCCCAGTTCTCTTCATCCCACTCCCATCCTCCCCACCCCCCCCCAAAAAAAATCCCAAACTAAAACCACCCCAAACCTGATCGAGCCCGACTGCCTTCGGCGAGACCTCACGCACCCTGCGCCCTAGCTTTGCGCGTCCCTGGGCGCCCCCTCCCGCTCGCGGTTACCGGCTGGTCCGCCCCGGCCCACGGGCGCCGCTGCTCTGAGCACCGTCCGGCGCTGCCTCCTCTGGTAGCCCAGGTCTGGGCTAGTCGTTCCCGGCGCTGCGGTGCTCGGGGCGGGAATGCGCGCTCCCGACCGGGGGCGGTGCGGGGTGCAGGGGCCGCCTCCCCGGCTCGAGGACGCCAAGACCAAGAGGAAACGAGCTTTGCAGGACTGTCTTCTGATAACGCTGCCCTCCACTCACAGTGTGGGTAAGACCCTGCCAGGAGGAAAGAGAACAGGAATATGAGAATATTCTTTATACTCCACCTTCCCCAAGCTCTGCAGTGGGTCCCTCGAGCCAAGTTTGAATTACACAGGAGTGGGACAGCATGAGTGAGATTCATGAAAAAAAATTAGCATTGAGTTCAAGTTCAGTCCGGCTGGAGCCTCCATCACTATTTAAATTACTACCTCAATTTTAGTACCTCCTCCTGCTGCCTGGTACATACAGATGCCAACAGTCAGTCAAATGTCTCCCCAAACAGGGCCCCCAAAGAATAGGACTGGGCTGGGAGTAGTTTCAAGTTACCAGATGTGGCTCATTCCTCACACCCAGTAAATATTTATCGAGTCCATATTCTATACCGGACACTGATCTGGGCACTAGGTGTATGGCCTCCTGGAGCTTATATTCTAGTGAAGAGACAGGCAATAAATATAGGTAAAATATATAGTATGTAAAATAGCGATACGTGCTGTAGAGAAAAATGATACCTTTTGAGTACAGAACTTAAGATGAGCCAACAAGTTACGCAGGTATCTGGAGAGAACGTATTCCACGCCCTGATGTTCTTTATCGTATGGGTCACTTCTTTTACAGCTCACAGTTACTTTATCAGGTAGTGTTATTACCATTCCCAATCACAGATGAGGAAACTGTAGTTTAAAGAGATTAAATGAACTGCCCAGTCACATAATAGCAAACAGAGGAACTTGCCTTCAATCTCAGGAAGCCTGGTACCCAGCTTAAGCAGACCATACTGCAGTAGGGGAAATGCAGCAGAAGCAGCACCCATACAGGCTTGCAGTTATATGATTAACTCAGTCTCCTGGTGCCAGAAAAGGATTCCTGGAAATGACATCAGATTCATTGATTTTTTTTTTTAAAGCTAGTTTCATTATTACATGTAAAATAAAATATTTTGCAAACCATCTTTACAGCTGTATGCATACTCCTCAGCTGCATCCACAGGCAGTTTAATTCTAGGTGACATAATTTAACCATCTTTGATGAAACTCATTAGTCCTTTCCTAATTCTCCACATTGATTTCATTGCACATTCCTGTTCATGGGAATGTAATTCATCACCAAGGCAGTAGAACCTATACTGCATGTCAGCAGAGTGTGGTAAAGCTGGTCAGAGAGCAGAGCAATAGAAGGAAGAAAGGAAGGAAGGAAGGAACAGAATGAAAGCTTGCCATTTGCGACAATACGGAGGAGCCTAGAGGGTATTATGCTAAGTGAAATAAGTGAGACGGAAAAAGACAAGTACTGCATGATTTTACTTACATGTAGAATCTAAAATAAATAAATAAATAAAAATGATCAAACGACATAAAACAGAAACAGAGCCATAGATAGAGGTAACAAGTTGATGGCCGCCAAAGGGGAAAGGGGCGGGGGCATAAGAATTTCAGGAGAGAAGAAGAGAGAGGAAGAGAGGTGGGGGGAGAGAGAGAACATGCAGAGCGACAGAGCTGCTGCTGCTAAAAGGCAGCAGTGCAGACAGGCCAGTCTTTGCCTTAGCAGTCAGAATCAGATGGCCTTTTGGGGGCAGAGTGCCAACGGCCCTTGAGGCAGAGAACAAGGGCACGTTGTACTATGTAGAAAGGCCACTAACCATCAGTTGCAGAGGCTGAAACTGCAGCACCCGGTGGGAGAAACATCAACAGGGTGGCAGAGCTCCCATTTCTCTCCTAAGTATCTGTGCCTCTCCATGGCTGCATTCATTCCCTCACCCCACCGTGCCCAGTGCCAGCAATAGCTTCCGGCCTTACCTTCAAGGGCCATCTCAAATGTCACTTCTTCCAGGAAGCCTTCCTCATTGCCTCAGTTACAAAAAAACTCTTACTCTAAAATCTGATACCTTACTTATAGCCCCTGTCATTTTAGAGTTAACTCTAAAATAGTCTCCTCTTATTCCTCCCTAGGTCAGCTTTATATTTAATTTCTCCACACCAGTGGATATTTCATGAGTAGTTTCTGGTTCATAAATGAAACTACAAGAACACACCTTCACTGTTCCTTAATTTCATCTTTTCATTCAAAAATAACTTTCAAGCTCACAGAATTTTACTGATAGGACTGAGTTATATGTAGTCATAGTTGTTGCTTGTCAATATAAATTGACAACTGTTTACTGTGAGGTAAGTTCTACTTATCCCATTCCGAAATTGGAAAAGTGAGGGTTAAGAGTAATTTCCCCAAGGTCACAATACTAGTCAAGGATAGAGCCAAGATTTAAACCCGGGACTGTTTGATTCACCACAACTTCATGCTGCTCCTCATTCAATCATTCATTCATGCATGCATTCATTTGAGCTTTCAACAAATATTTATATTTACTGTGTTCAGCTCTGCACCAACCACTGTGAAAATAACAATGATAAAACACAGTTCTTGAGGGGATTGGATGAAGGTGGTCAAAAGGTACAAACTTCAAGTTGTAAGATAAATAAGTTTAAGGGTTGTAACATACGGCATGGTAATGATAGTTAATGCTACTGTATGATATATAGGAAAGTTGTTAGGAGAGCAAGTCTTGAGTTCTTTTAACAATGAAAAACTTTTTTTTTCTTTTTTAATTGTATCTCTGTGAAATAATGGACGCCAACTAAACTTACTGTGGTCATCATTTTAGGATATATGTAAGTAAAACCATTATGCTGTACAACTTAAACTTTTACAGTGGTCTATGTCAATTGTATGTCAATAAAATTGGAAAAAACCCCACAGTTCTTGCCCTCAAAGCTGCTTTCACTATAGTAAAAGGGACAGATAAGTTAGGAATAGTCAGACTTTAGTGTTATGCACCTTACGAAAGAGATGCATAGAAACCCTAAGGAATACTTTGTTTTACATTAGGTGACGGGAAAGTAGAAATGACACTAAGGATTCACTGAGAAGATGGAATGTAATTTTAATTCTGAAGGAGATATAGTAGTTTGTTATAATGGTAATGAAGACAAGTGAATGGTAGCCAGAGTAAAGATCATATGCAAAGATATGAAAGAAAGAAAGAAAAGAAATGCATTCAGAGAAGATTACAATAACTCAAAAAGGCTGCAGGATAGTAAGAGTGGTATTGAGATGAGGCTGGAAAGGTAAGAAGAGCCAAACCTCGAGGGGTCCATAAATTAGCTTCACGGAGTCCATTACACCCTGAAAATGTATAAAATCATGGATGTCTATGAACGTGAACTTTTTACAGGAGAGGTTTGATAGCTTTAGTCAAATTCTCAAAAGTGCTAACTGACCCGGGACTGGGGCGTGGGGAGTATGTTTCCCTTGCCACGGCCACTGCCCAAGCCATGGGCCACAGGTAACCTCCAAGGGATTGCAATATACACTAGATACCTGGCAGTGGGTACAAGGCTTGCCTCTGCTAAATCACCTCCAAACGTGCAGTCACGCTGCCAGATCTGGACAAGGATGGCTAGATCCCGACCTTCCAAACATCTACACTCAGGTTCCCTGTGAGGATAGAAGGAGTGGGTAACTGGGCAGCTGGCAGGCCAGGAGGCAGGGAGCTGGCAACTGAGACCATGTCCCAGAGAGGCAGCGGAAAGCAGAACCACAGTGAGCCAAGACTCTTAGTGCTCAGGGCATGCTCCATGGCCCCGCCAGACTTCACTTACTGTTATAGGCTGAATTGTGTTCCCGAAATTCCTATGTTGAACTCCTAACTCCAAGTACCTCATAATGTGACTATATTTAGAAACAGGACTTCTAGAGGTAATTAAGATGAAATGAGGTCATATAGGTGACCCCTAATCTAATCCGACTGATGTTTTATAAAAAGAGGAGATTAGGACACAGACACCAAGGGCACTCATGCACAGAGGACACCCATGTGAAGAGGCAGCAAGAGGACAGCCATCTGCAAGTTCAGGAGAGAGACCTGAAACAGATCCTTCCCTATGGCCCTCAGAGGAAACCAACTCAGCTGGAACCTTGATCTTGGACTTCCAGTCTCCAAAACTGTAATAAAGTAAACATCTGTAGTTTAAGCTACCCAGTCAGTCTATGGTATTTTGTTATGCCAGCACTAGCAAAGCAATAGGTTTACAAAACAGAAATTTAGAATTCAAAAAATAACATATTTAAGAAGTTCAATATGGTGACCACAGAGCATTAGATCTCAAATGAGGGCCCTTCTAAGCATGGAGTCTTGTGCCACTGCACTGGTCACATGCCCATGAGGTAGATCTCAGGAACGTGAGAATGGCCATCTGAAAACAACTTAGGATCCATCAGTGGAGAGATGTGCTTAAAGACGAGGCAATGGGTAAGATGGACCTGGGAACATGAAGTGAAGACAAGAGAAGAGGGCTGATATTAGAAGCTTGGAACACGAAACTGGCAGGAAGACAACTAGAGAAATAGGAGGTGAAGAAGAGAAGGTGGAACCTCATGGAGAAATGGGCAAGAGTGTCCAAGGCCCAAGGTCATGATTAAGAACCAAAGCCCATTGGCCTCTGCATGGAGGTCATGTGGTGGGAACGGATGCCAGATTGCTGCTGGTTAAGGAGTAAGGCTGTTATTTCAGGCTACTCCTTTAAGGAGGCTGGGGAGAAGGTTTACAGAGGGACTGCTGAGGACATTTGTGCAAGTCTATGAAGGCCCAGGGGACCAGGAGACTGAAATCCAGCCCACACTCTGTCACTAAGGCCACATCAGCCCACAGATAGGGCTGATGGAAGATGTTCCAATGAAGGCACCAAATGTCCTAACCTTGAGTAACAGAGCTGCAGTAGCTTTTGTTGTTTGTATATTTATTATCTGAGTCCCCTCGCTAGCTCCTGCAGGGAAGCAACTGTTCTGTCTCCATCACCAGCAGCAAAAACTGGCACATAGGAGGTACAGGAACATATGTTGAATAAGTGAATGGGATGCACAGTTAAGGAAAA